TCTGGCAATTACATTGTTCCACACGATATTTAATAATTTAACATGGGGTTATAGTGGACAGATTTGACCTTTTATTTATAGGAAAACTGAAACTTTCAACTTTCTGTCCATTGCATAAAATCCTGCCTTATGTCTCATCAATGATGGTAGGTAAGTAAAAACTTTTGAAAAAACAGCTCTTGGATTTACCTCTGGAGTGTGTGATTTGAATATCTGATTGGCAATCTGTTAAAAAATAAACAAAACTCAAGAGGTGGTGGGGAGAGCCATCAAACACTTACGCATGACAGTATGGCTTTTTCTGGTGACTCACAAAGTTATTAACCGATAGCATCATCTTGCAAACTTCACAGTGAAAACACGCTTTATGCCATATCTAGAAGTCATACAGAAAAGATTTAGCAAAATTACCCTTTTTTTCAGACTCAGTGTTCTTACATATTTCAGGGTAAAAAACAGAGCCTTAGGGATAAAATGATGATTGAAAAACACGCGGCTACAATATGTTAAATACATGAGTAGCATTTTTTTTTTTGAGACAATACAGAAGACATAGCTAGAAATGGGTAAAACTGAAAAAAAAAAGTGAGAAATACATCTTTTTCTTTTGGTGGTTCAAAATAACCCACACATCCATATGTGAGAAGAGAAATTCCCCATGTCTGTTATTATTCCCGAAGGCCAAGACATGTTTACTGACCTGATCTAGACAGCTGATCTTCTCAGCAGGATACACTCCGTACCCACACCTAGAGCAAGCCTGGACATTCATCTTGACTTCCGAGAAGACAAAAAGACAGGTAACAGGAGATGCCTCAGGCTAGTTGCTCAAATCTCGCAAATCCCGACCACTGTTAAATTCTGGGGGCACCTTAATCGCTCGGAATCCAACTTCCACGTTCCTTTGCTGACTTTCTAGTCTGAAGTCAGCAGCTGGATGGTTTTTAAAGCTGCCACTTACTCAAGGGTCTATTCTGGCGACTCACTCAGCACGCATGCGTCTGGGAAATGAGGTGGAGGTATTTCTAGCTGACATGCTGCTCTAAATAGAAAAGTGAACTCACAACGGCATCGTGTTTATGTGGATGACCAAATCCTGCTGTATGATCAGGCAAGCATGCAGTTTCACACGAGCTGTGATCATAACCCAAGAAAAGAACCCCACAGAAAACGGCAGCACACCCTCAGCCGACGATCAAATTAGAAAAGCTTGCTCTGTGAGCAAGATGACTAAAGCAGAAAGGCCAGCTCCCAAAAATATAGGAAGTAAAACAGAACTGATTCACTCCACGGGAAGGGTAAATACTGTACTTGAATTTTAGCTTTATCTATTAAAAATGTTGACAACAGTGAGACTTCAAAATGATTAAGATATTCACTTGTGTTTAGCTTCTGCTAGGCTGCCCAAAAAGAACACGTGAGAACTCTCGGTGTTTGGGCCTCTACAGATTACCCTGGACTGATCCGAGAAGGCTTATTTATTCCTTCACCTCCCAGGCCTGATGGGGCAGCTTGAAAACAAACCTTCCTGGCTTAAGTGAAGCCCCTCACTACTTTCAGTGTCTACCTAAATGCCACCTNGACCCGCAAAGGGGTCGCGACCCACAGGTTGAGAACCGCTGTAGAGGCTGCCAGCATTCTTTGGCTTGTGGCCTCAGGTAGCTTTGACTTCTACTTCTATTGTCACATCACCCTTCTCTGACTCTGACCCTCCTGTCTCCCTCCTTATAAGGATCCTTGTGATTAAATTGCATCCACCCTAATAATGCAGGATAACCTTCTTATCTCAAGAACCTTAACTTACTCACATCCGCGAAGTCCCTTTGGCCATGTAAGTAACATATACACAGGTTCCAAGGATTAGAGTATGGAAGTCTTTGGAGAATTGTCCACCACAATCTTATACTAAAGGGACATTCAAACTAATTGCTAAAGTAATTTCTAGGGCCCTTACCTCACCAAGAGACTTTCGAGCCTCAACCATCCTTACGATTTCAGGGTCTGGCAGCGCTCCTGGACACCAAGCATTCCCTTCCCCATATCCAGTCCAATAGCCTCTCTATAAAGGAAACACACAAATATATACAAACACATACCGCACACGTTTGGTTGGTCAGATCCCCCGCCCAACCCCAGCCTCCCAGCAATGCTCACACACAATGTCTATATCAGATAGAAACTCTACAAACTATAAACTCTTATTGGCATATTGCAGGTCTCAGCTAACGCAAAGGTTTATTTATTTTTTTCCAAATTAGAAAAGAACCTAATATTCTAAATAATTGAACTTTCTGAACTTCACTTATATCATAGAAGAGCTCCA